CGGGGCCAGACAAACTGACCTCGAGGGTCGGTCTTTGAACAGTCATAAAAGCATGTTACATTATGTTAATAAAGTCAAGAAAACTCAGATCAAACGCATGAGAAACAAACTTGTAGATATTTTTGAAACTTTGTGAAAAGCCTTCTATGTAATAGCTCTTCTACTTCTAATTCTAAATGATTTTTAAAAAGTCCGGTTTAGAAAGCTTTAACACTGACAGACAGCCTGAATCTTTGGAGTAGGCCTACAGATAGTGTCAGTGTGGCCGAGTTGCACGTTTCCCCCCCTCCTTGACATCATATGGAGATAGACTAGATAGGACCAGGTTCAATTTTTAGCTTCGTTTCAATATATTAAGCTCTTACTCTTAAATATTTTGCATAGAGCGTTTGCTGTACTGCAAAATTGCTTCCTTTATCAGAGCCGAGGGAATAAGCTCCAAAATATTTAAGTATTTGCTATCACAGTATCTGATCTTTTAAAAATTTGTAAGGAAAACAATAATCTAAGAAAGTTTCTGTTCAACAATAAACACATCAAAGTCAAAGCACATCTTTATTGATCTAACAACAAAGTAAAAGTAGACGATAACCATTTTACATGAACATTTATTGTGCTTTATTTCTGGACTCTTCATGTCCTAGAACACTCAGAGATGTATACATGATACATGTATACACAGATGTATACACAGACACGCAGGTAGACAGCCAGGCAGACAGGCACACACACACACACACACACACGCACACACACAGGTGAATTTTTACTGTTAATCCTGCATACAAATGCCTTGCTTTGGGGGGGGGGGGGGTGTCAAACTGCAGTATTTTTTGCTGCAGATTACACATATATATAGCAACTAGAACTGTCGCAAATCAATTGTCAATTATCTTCAAGAAAATTTCAAACCTAAAAAGCAAAACATCAAATTAAAGCCCCCCCCCCCCTCCCCGTAACTCCCCAGATTTTTTTTAACTTCAGGGGGGTATGCCCTCCTGAAACCCCCCTATTGGTCCACAGTGCAAAAATTACAGTGGAATTAGGCTTAGGGTGATAAAGTTCAATTAAAAACCATCAAATTAAAAAAAAAAAGATTAATGCCACGGAAATTAAGTCGATACTCGTGTTCAGCACATCAATGAATAGGAGAAGATGGACGCCTAGTTGCTAAATGTGAGATTGGAGGGAAAGTAAAAGAACTCCTGTACATTATATTGTGACCTTTCAAAACAAGTATACATATTATATGTATACATAGTAAGGTAAAGATCACAAATCTGTAAGGTGTCAACAAAAACCCCCCAACCATACTCAGACAAGAGGAGCAAAGCAAAATTAATATGTTATACAAATACAAATGTATATATTAATGGATGCAATGTATAAAACTGTTGTATTCAAAATGCAACTTCACAGCAAAAAATCCCGACATCGCAAACACACTGTATGAGATCACGCATCGTACACAAAGTGGGATATTACTATAAATAATAAAATAAAATAAATGATACCAACTTCGCTAAAAACTTTATGTCTATTGTGTATCTTCAATATCTTAGATACCTGTCAGAATTTCTGGAAGAATAATGCTTTAAAAAACATCATCTATGCGAACACAAAAGTGCTTTCTTCAAAGAAGTATCAAACGAAATTCTGTACAATATGTTGCAGGAATTTTCTAAGAAATTTCATTTCATAATAAATCTTTCAATATTTACATTCACACACACATTCAGGAATTTCAGACGTTATCTAGTATAAAAAAATAAAAAGTGATTATAATAATATAGGGCTATGTAGTGCACAATAAATAAATATGACCCTTAAAAGTGTCATACGTACATGTATTTTCTAAACCCCACTTTGTCTCTTAATACACACACAGTTGAACCTGTGAACTAAGATGACCTCTAATTGTCGAGGAGAAAAAATGGCCTTCTACGACAGGTGGCTGTTTTAGGTAGGACTGATAAAAATGAAACAAATAAACCATTCCCGACTGAGGTTCCAACCTGAGGTGATCGGTTGAAAGCTCATGATTGCCACCTAAGGCTAACTTATAACTAAAAGGTTTTTTTCTTTAATTCCTTCTTTTTTCCGAAGGGGCGGGAGGGGGTGCAAGAAAATTTTAGTTTAAATTTATTTTCCTTTGTTGCTGGTTTTGTGAAAGGGGAAAGCAAAATGAAATGGGTCAGATGAGAAAGACTGAGTCTCATGGTAAAACAAACAAAACATGGATCACCATCACTCAGCGAATGAGCAACATTTCCGTCGCAAGTTCATGTTGATGTCCATTGTTACGAACTGGGTAGACAGCGACTGCTCATCTCACTTATGATTTGCTTACGAGCAGTGGGTGGGCTTATTTAGATCTAAGAAAGCCTAAATCATGACGGATCACACACCTCCCTCACCAGCAGCTGAAAATTTATTATCAACTGGTCAACTTGGGTAGACAGTGGGAGGGAGCTATGCAACATGATCGGTTCATTCATTGGGGAACTAACAATAAGCACAGGTGAATGGATTGTGATGGCTTGTCCACAGCATCAGGTACCTGTATAAAACTTATGACAATGCTTCAGGATGAGAGATTTACACGGCCATTTCAGACAAGTTTATAGGGTTGTTAATTGGTAAAATATGGTGGCAGCGGCCATGTTGGACAGGTTTTACAGAGTGTTATATATAGATAAAAAAGCAAGGGAGGAAATGGAGAGTGACCTTTTGTACAGGTACGTAGCCATCATGACAGGTTCTAATGTAAATGACTGTTTGAGTGCCTAATGTTCAGCATTTAGAAAAACATGCCTACAATCATTGCATCCTACAAAAATACAAAATAAGCTTGTACACTCTTTCTCACACCAAAGTTTTACTCTTAACACTTTTTTCCACAGCATGTTATCAAACTTATACAGCATAAAAGGTGTCACTTGAATTATGTAAAAGTCAGTTCTATTTTATTAGAACACAAAAAGGCATAAACTTTAGTGAGCGACATTAACCGTTTATCATTTTCAAAATGTTGAAACTGTCCTATTTAACTCACTGTCTGATGGTGTCCGACACTGGCCGCATTAAATTTCTTGCTACACTTTTCAGTTTAGAATAAATATATAAAAATGGCTTATGTCAGTGCAACAGTATTACTTTAACTACCTCGCGAACTCAGACCAAAAAGGCCATGCTATAGGTATATACAATATAATAGCATAACATTTATCACTATTTTCTTAAAAACAACGTGAATTATACAAAAAAGTATTTTACATGAATATGTACACTCACTACACGTAAAACAACAAAACAAATGAGTTATTTATTCACTGTAAAAGTTAACGCTCCTTTCAACACAGTAAGGTTAAACAAATGAGTACAGTCAATCTTTGTCAATCTTGCCTCGTCTAGCTCTGTCTTGCATGATAGCCATGTGTAGGGAAAAACACTAGCAACCAATTAGGCCTACATGAGTATAGCTCTAGCAAAACTTTAGGTAAATTCAAATTGAAAGAAGCTAGGATCAGAAGCTGGGCTGCATGTATCAATGACCCTGTAGACGTACAGGTTTTTTAAACCCGATACTCATCAATTCTTGGGTCGCGTTAGATGTATCATGTAGATTTGCTCTCAGGCCGGGTTGTAGCAGCTCCTTTAAAGTTTCTCCTGGCGACTTTTAAACTTCATTCTAATTTTTTTAAATATTGGCCAAGGCGTTAGACTAATAGCATTTCATAATCAGCAAAAATCAAAAGAAAATCAGCAAGTGCCTAAAAATAGGCAGAGATTGCAGATATATGCGTGGGAAAGAGATCATCAAGCAGCCACTGTGCAGGTGGAGTGTGGCGTGGTGTGTACTGTACCCCTGGCGGCCAATCCGCTGGCGGTACAGTGGGGCAAATTTACATTAGTTTAATAAGGACTACAACTGAGACAGTTGCAGATGGCAGTGTGAAGGCGGAAAGACTATCTTTACATAGAGGTGTTCCTTTATGTACATTGGCAAAACCTGGCGATAAGTGGGGCTAGAGGTACAATGTGGAAGGGGGGGGGGGGTGTTTGACGGTACCCAAAAGTAATAAATCACAATGAATCAATAAACACAGAAACTACAAAAATCATGTCAACACTACATGTATCATGTAAGATGAAAATTTATGGATGCCAAATTGCAATTACGAGAATGATACCTCATTAAGCAGAGGTATATGGTGTAAAAAGCAAAAATAATAAACCCAAGACTGTAAAGTGTAAAGAGATGGAGATTATGACAACAATCTTTTTTCCCTTTCTAATCTCAAAATTGTGCTTACAAGACAGTAAGTACAATAAATGACAGAAGTGAATATAAACATTACAGTAGAGTCTTTACTGCATCCATTTATCTTCAAAACAGCAACTCTGCTGTCATTCAGATTACCCTAAATTGTGTGAAAAAGGGAAATGAACCTCATATGAACAAACAAACAAATGTTCACAAATAATTTTTCCAACAAACAAATAATTTTTCAAACGACTTTAAGGTGATAGGACAAAATTACCCTAGTATATCAAACTGTGGGAAAGAACAAGCCAAAGGCCAGTAAAGGAAGACATACAGGTGAAGAAAAGGAAATGGATTGGGCACACCGCGAGGAGACCCCCGACAAGCATCATCAGATAGGCTTTGACGTGGAAACCACAAGGAAAACGTAAGAATGGAAGACCAAAGATGACATGAAGGCGAGCGGTACTAGCGGAAATGGAAAAGGTGGGGACATCATGGAAACAGCTAGAAAACGATGCACAGGACAGGCTTCAGCTGGAGAAATGTTGTTGATGGCCTATGCTCCACTGGGAGTTAAAAAGGGCAAGAGAGAGAGAGAGGGATCAAATATAGGCATTGACAAGTTGACAAATTTAGCTCTAATGGAAAACATTTGCAGCTTGATGATCGCTATAAAAACGTACATGTCCCAGACGAAAAACAAGCATTGCACCATGAGCATAAATTCTTAGAACAAACTTAGTCTGCACTGCAATCAGATAAATATACAGCAGGTATTTAATAGATACTTTTAAACCTTAACACGAACCTGTTTCACTCTAAATTCCCGTAAACATGAAATGATTTCAAATCCCCTTCCCCCCGCTCTTTATTCTCTGTATGTTGCAACTTCCCTTCACACTATCAAAAATCCCATAGATCAGGATACAAGAAAGGGGTTTTGTCTGTTTTGTCACACCTCCATACTGATTCTCTCCTTTACTTTTTATTTTGTTGCTCACAGTAGCCCACCGTCGTCAATATGCCTCACACAACATGCATCCAAGAGACTTTCCTACTTTCCTTGTGCGGCGGGTGGTGAGAATGTGGCTTTGTTTTGCAGGACATATAGACGAGACACAGGGAAGCTAAATCCCTAATTTAATGGAAACGTCATATTAAAAAAATATTTCAAGCTATCTTCTCATATGAAGCTATAATTGATCAGTTCCATGTTTCGTAATTTGTTTTCATTCTGAAACTAAGTGGTAGCTTTCAAAACGAATCAAGTGAACAGCTACAACCTCCCTTCAACCTCATTCTGCGAGGTCAGGACATCTGTCTAAAACTGATGAAGATAAAGTTTCCCTTTGTTTTAAAGACTGGCAGCTCTGCATATATGTTATTAATGACTAAAAATTGGTTACCCAATGTCTAGCATCTGATCTGAACAGTTAGAAAGGAGTCACCTCACCTTTTTTGGTTCTTTTCATAAGCACTCAGCTTAAAATGAAATCTGCTTTAAAACATAGAGACATTCTCTGCACTTGTGAAGTTCGTTTTATCAGGGTTTTACTGTATAAATAACTAAAAAATTGAAAAGCCAGTCTGAGTTGACTGCAAAATGAAACCTAGGATGTGGGAAAAGAATACATACTATCCATCCCTTCAACCTCAATGAAATCAATTATGTATCTGCGATTTGATCTACAATCTGAGCCACACTTGGCGGAGTTGCATCTTGGGCAGGGGAAATGGCAGCCGGGGCAATCTTTGTCCAAGCAGTCACATAGGTCCAGACCATTCTCCAATAGGATGCCCTGACTATCATAGGCTTGATTCTTTTTGGACCTGAAAACACAAAAAAACATAACATAAAAAGACAGCCAAATCTCTGGAATCAGTAATTACTACTACTACTACACAGTATACATTGCTGAAAGTTTCGTCAAAGCCCTAGCCCTATTTGATCGTTTAATTCAGTTGAGGGAGGCCAGATTTTCTTTCAAGAGCTAGATGGGTAAAAAGCTACCATCGGGGCACAATTTGATAAAATCGCCAAAATTAAATGCATTTGATTTTATAGGTAATGTCAATTCCAGTTTTGTTCATTGCTAGGTTATATCTTTTTTCCTTGCACTTGGAATGCCATAATTAGCCCTATTGGACTTACAGGTCAAATTTGACAAAGCAAAGCACAGGTCTATTTGATTAGAAGTGTGCAATAGCCAAAGTCATTACCTGAGCTGACCGATCCAAACTGCATTTGACTGACGGGTATCCCTTTTAGCTATTAATTAATAAATAGGCTTTCAAATCAGTCAAGTTGAGTGAATTCTGCTTCTGACATCATAACTGAATGGACCTGACAGGTAACTTGCTTCCTTTAAAGTCTCAAAATTTGTTCCCCATTCAAAGATTAATACTTTAACTCTTATGTTAATTAAGAGGCTAAAAATTTCATTTTCATCAACACAAATATATACCAACAAGTAACAAGTAACACAACAGTTGAGATGAAATACACTTACTCTTTTGTATGAAGCCGCCTGTTCATCTTTCGCATCTCTCGCTGTGACCTTTCCGGATCAAAGTCAACCATAAAAGTTCCATGCTGGTCAAGACTCAACTTTTTCAGTTCTAATGTCTGCAAAGAAAAAGACAACAAACTCAATAAACATTTCTCTACTTCAGGTTAACACATATCATAGCTATTATAAATTTACATTAACTTTCAATGCGGGAAAAAAAATTGTTGGAGAAACTCAAATGTGTTTCCAACCTAAATACTGTCAAAACAAGGAATTGCAGAGTTGCCGACAATGATACTTCTGTATTGTGTAATATTTATTATATTATGATTAGATATTGAATATTATTTTTTTCTGTACTTTCTTGTTTTGCTGGTGACATTTCTATGTGAAAAACTTATGAAATTATATTATATTTTCTGCCCTACTGCGAAAATACCATCCTGAGCACTAAGGTCACAACCTGTACTCAAGGGCCTTAAAACGCACACTGCTCTGTATTGGAAAATGATAACAAAAAAACCTGACTTTCACTATGTGATAAAAAATATTTTCAAACTATTTTCAGTAATATCCATAACTTGGCAAGCAGGACACCCCCCCCCCCCCCCCCCACCAAAAACAAACAAAACCAGAGAGGGGGTTTAAGTAAAGTTTTTGGTGAGTTGCAAAGCAGCAGCAGCCACATGCAAAGTCTTAAAACGTCAACAAAATCCTCCCAGAGTGAGATCAAAACAAGGTACAGAAAACAAGTAGTCTAAATTGTCCAAGACAGCCACCTACTGTTGAGGATTAAAGTGGTTGTCTTATGTAATAGTAAGTAGGTGGACATCTTGGGAAAGACTGATAATAATGAAGAAAACAAATCATTCCCTTCTGAGGTCCCAACCAGGGGCAGTTGCAAGAGTAGAAAATTGTAGTGAAACCCATTAAATGTTTGTTTTTCTTTCTTTTGAAAGTAGGACAGAACGGGAGATTTCATTGCTGCTGTGAGTATTAAAGTCTACAAAGTATTCAGTAGAATATAGATCAAGGAACACAAAGAGAAAGAGTAAAACAAAACGAAATGTGTCAGCCAGACGTGGAAGGCCAAGTACAGTGGAAAAACAAATAAAAGGGTCATTATTGGTGGCTACCACTGGGCAAATTTATAATGAGGAACATGTCTGTTGCAAGTTCATGTTGACAGCCATTGTTATCAACTAGGTAAAAATAAGTAATCTAACTTACAATTCGAGTGTGGTCGGAGGATAATTCAGTTTGTGGGAGGGGCTAATGGATAATGACAGTTCACATGCCTCACTCATCAACTGCTTATAATTTGTTATTAACCTGTCAACATGTAAACAGTGGGAGGGACCAAGTCCAATTACCTGATGCTGGTCAGCGAGCAGTTCAAGGGGTTAGCTAACAGTAATGACAGGTGAATTGATTATATATGACGTTTTGTCCACAACATCAGGAACTGAATATGATTTATGACAACACAGAGATACATGTATCTGCCTGGCTATCATGGATCGAAGTGGCTATTATTTAGCCTCCCATGGCTATTCGGACTCAAACTCCAATGCGCGTTTGGGGGAAAACCTTTTTTTGAGCAAACAGCTTCACCCTTTGTTGCTATTTATTGGTTCTGTACTGGAAAATTTTACTATTGAATAGTCTGACCAATCAAAATTAAGAAAAAAATAAGCCTAGGGTCAAGGCACTGCATGCCCTAAAAATAATCGTGGGTTCTGTTAGGGATAACAATTAAAAACATGTTTTTTTGTGTTGTAAACAAATGCCAATTCTAACATTACAATGACAAACTATTATTATTATACTAACATTATTTCATTTAAACAGCTTTCAGTAAGGCCATTATTTTTAAAACATACACACTACTCTGGCAAGTGAATTCCTTTCTGAATTTAGAATACACTTGTCTAGGGTTTTGGTGAAGATATGCGTGCATACTCTCAAGATTTAAAATAATGAAACAATAACAATCCCCACGGGAGCCTAAAAAAATCGGCCAGCACTCACGAACGTTCACTCTTACATGCACAAATTATTTTCTATCATATATTATATCCTATTAGCCTACCCATTCTCAACACCCAGGTAGGCCTAAGAATAAAAATTCATTGCATTCTCAGACCGGGTGAGAATAACGGCAGCCATAAAAAAAAGACGCAAAGGAGGGGGGTGGGGTTGGGAAGTGGTCGCTTAGGTAGTTGTCTTCGACAGGTGGCCATCTGGTTAGATTCGACAGCATGTGAAAACTGATACCCAGCCGCATAGTATGTAGAGTAGAAAATAATATGTTGATCTTGTAGTTCCTTTCGTTAAAGTCCACGATCCATTTGTTTACATCCAGAGAAGAAATCCAGAAGTCTTGATGACCAAATACTATTTGAAATAAGGCAACACAAAGAGCAGGGATGCAAAACCTAACATCAAATTAGGATAAAATTCAGGGGGGCATGCCCCCCTGAAACCCCCCCCCCTATTTTTATTAGGTCAGGGGGGCTCTGAAAAACCCCTACTCTTGACTTTAACTTTAACGAACAAAACTACAAAATCGGCGAAAATATCACTGCACACACTTCAATGTCCGGGGATACTTACATCCTCACTTCCTTCTCCTGCTGGTGTTGTAACGGACTTTTGGGTAGACGTCTCTGACTGTGAATCGGGCTCAGTTTGTCCTTGTGCAGTAGTCTCTTTTTCTTCGGTACCACAGGTCCTGTTTCCCAAGGTTGATGAATTCTGAGCACCCAAACTTCCAAATGATGATTTGCTATTGTTTTCATTTTCATTACTGACATGATTACAATCATTGCTGGAGTTGGAGTCACTGATTTCTAGTACTGGTGGGGAACTTGACCGAGATAACATGGACGTCATGATTAGCCTGGGATCTCTTGATTCGAACTTGGAAACTTGGATGCACCCTCCAATGAATAGTACTATGATGACAATGTCACAATGCCATTATGATTGTTGATTATTTTCGGATCATTAAAAAAGGCATCGACTCGACTCACTGGATCACACCCAGTAATATAAATATGAAGCACAATTATAACACTTGCTGCTTGCCATTCATAATCTTGATCTGGTCGTTCCACTGTTTATTGTTGATGTTTGTTTAGGGTTTGTTTTTTTTTTCTTTGAAAGAGACGAGACGGATCTCATTCTCAAAGCTCCATGGCACTGAAAGAAAACTGAAAACTAAAACGAAACTTGGTCAATGGTCATTACTCCGTCAAAGATAACGTGGATTGAGCATTATTGTTTATGAAGTGCATCACGGTGAGTCAAGCGAGTTTAAAAAGGGGTAACTCTATGGCAGAGACCAATATAAAGAAGCATTGAAGTACACATTTTATATTTTTTTGTTCGAAACAAATAGGAGACAGTTGTAACTTATTTCATAAAATTGCACTCTTTGTATATATATTTTTTTCTCAAAAGAAGTCAAAATTTGTTAAGTGCAAGAGCCGAATAAAAATGTTGGTTCTGAGGTAAGAGTAGCCACATTTTCTTAAAAATTATAATCGGCTCAGAAACAGCGGTTCTAGCGAACTACGAAACTCAGAATTTCCCCTTAGGTTAGCAGACAAGACTCGACTCTTTTGGTGTTGGTGCTTTCTTGTCGCCTTCCTTATGGCTGAAGACTTTTATTATTGTGAAATGAAGATGACATACATGCTGTTCTTTTGTAGCAGGTACTTATTCCATTCACGGTGAGATGAGGGAAACTTATGTCAGTCTATGTGAAGTGTCTTTCCCAGTCCCAAGGACCCAAGAAAATCAAAAAGCCTCACTCAGCCTTTATCAGGCCTTGAACTCTACCTTCTCTAGATCTAGATTTCTAGATCTAATCTAGATCTAGATCTAGATATCTATTAAGCTAAGGCAGGAAGGTCATCTCAAACTGTTGACTGTTGGTCTATTACTATTAGAATAAATTTAGATTCGGTGATCTTGTAGTTCCGTTCGTTAAAGTCCACGATCCATTTGTTTACATCCAGAGAAGAAATCCAGAAGTCTTGAAGACCAAATACTATTTGAATTAGGCTACACAAAGAGCAGGGATGCAACCTATCTGCAAAACATCAAATTAGGATAAAATATTTTTTTAGGTCGGGGGGGGGGGGGGGGGGGGGGGGGGGGGGGGGGCAAGGCGCCCCCCCCCCCCCCCCCTGAAACCCCCCTACTCTTGACTTTAACGAACGAAACTACAAAATCGCCTTAGATTCTACTCCTACGGTATTAGATGTAGATCTAGATCTTTATTATCATATTCCTCTACTCCAGCAGTACTACGGCACGGTCTAGCTAGGTCAAGATCTGGGCAGGGGCCCTATATTGCCTCTATAATGCCTATATATTATATTATACTATAGTATAGTTTGTCTCAGTAAGATTGAACTTTGTTGGGCCCAACAGTGCCAACACTGAACGAAACCAGAAATTCTTTTGAGCGTCGCTGTGCAATGGTCCGCTCTAATGTTATAGTTACTGTTTTGTATTTATCATAGATGATAGATCTATTGGTCTTTTAACCCTATCTGTACGTCGTGTTTTACTGTGGTATCCATACGACGTGGGGAACTCTGCCACCATTTTCCAAAGAGGAAATTTACTCGTTTTATCCAATCCGTACGCTTTGCATCAATAGCATTTTTATTACCAGTCTGTCAAAATGATTTTTTTGAGAAATGCTGAAATGTTCTTTCACGCGGTATAATATTTTTGGCATTTGATGTTTAAATAGAAAGCCTTTAAAAATAACGTCAAAATTTTCCAAGATAATTTTTACACAGAATATGTAAAATACCGGCTTAAAAAAGGTACCAATAGAAAGATAAGTTTATTTCCTATTAGAATAAAAGTAATCAGCTTGGAATTATTTTGCATCCAATCCTTCCATGAAACTCGGAAGTCATGTGACCCCCCACGCAGGGAGCTCTCGGTACGCTACGGTACAGAGCCGACTCGCTTGCCGCGGGGACCGCTGCGGCGCCGGCCTGGTCGACGCTTGGTGTTTTTGTCAAAATAACAACTGATCATCGCGTTTGAGTTAATAAAATACTGATTTGTAATGATCTCAGTCTTGAAAAAAAATTAGAGTCAAGTCCATATATATCTTATTGTGGTTGTACTCTGTTAATGTGGAGATGTTTAGTGCACGTGGTACTCTTTTATTATCTGTCAAACATGGGGTTGCAGCCAGTGACCGACTACAAATTTGATCAAATTTTAAACAACTGCCATTTTCTTAGAAATTGACTGAGAGGTTAAAGAATTGTACCAAAATGCTCAAGGGATTATGCCTTTCATATATATGGAACAGATAAATTTGGCATACAGCTATTTGAAAATTTAGTTTCTGGTACCTACTTCATACCAGCCACTCCTGGACAAAGGCCAGGGTGTTCCAGCTTCAGTGAACCTCTCTCCCCATCCAACCATCCCAACTTATTTGTGAATTTGTTGACTCTTTCGTTGCCTTTCACTCCTGAATGGCTAGGGCAGAAGATCCAGATCACTCTCTCCAGGCATCTTCCTTTGATGAAATAAATTGTTGCTTTCACTCCCGCATGCAGGTGTACTGTTTTTGAGGGTCAAACCACCATATTTTTGGCAACAGAACACATGCTCATGGCCACTTAAAACTTAAACCGTCGCCGATCAATTGTTCGACAGTTGTCAAGAAAAGCATGCCTCCCTGAATCCGAGACTTTTTTCCCCTCAGGGAGCATGCCCACCTGGAATCCCTCAGTGTTTTAAAACCACTAGGAAATACTACTACACCTTAGCTTAGTGTACCACAGCTTCAATTTAAACCATCAAATATATTAAAATCTAGAAATTTGCAACAGAAAATTAATAAATTAGGGTGTAAAGCAAATAAAAATGTACGAGAAAAGTGCTAGATAACACCTGAGCATGAGAAGGGAGTGAAAGTAAAATAATATACCTTTTCATGGTTTTAAGCCTGTCTGTGTGTACAGCGTTCTCCTCTAAATTTTCCACTAAGTGTTCTTGGAGTCTTCACTTGGTAACATTGATGGCGTGCTGATATCTGTTGTTCCTGACCCAGAGCGTGGCCTTGCTTTTATCACTTTTATCTCCATATACATCCTGGATGTTGTCAGTGTGGTGGTTCCAGCTTGTTATTCCATGATTTTGCCATCCACTGTAGCAAGCATTTAAGGCTCAGTCTGCCTTCTCTTCCCTTACAACAGATCCACCTGTGAAGATGACTGTCTCCTTAATCCCATCACTCTTCAATGAGGCTTGCGGTTTCCACATTTGTTGCTCCAACGGGCGATTCATAGCCTGTATCATCCCAGTTGGTCCGATTCATAAAGTAGAATGGAAAGCCCTTCCAAGTCTCACCCAATTAATTGTTGACGAATTGTAGAGTATATATTGGCTTTTAAGTTTTATTGTTTTCTGGTCATAAGTTTACTGTTTTGCTTATTTTGTGATGAATGCGCACCGAAGCATAATTTTTATTATCACTTTTTATTTTTTTAAATATTGTCTATGAGTATTTTTCAAGTACTTACTGTCTCTTAACAATTTTTGTGATCCTTTAATGATTCTTTCATGCATGCTTTATTTTTGCTTTTGTTGTAAGAATCTTTTGTGATTGCTATTTTCACATGGGTAGAGATTTTCCTTTTCCCTTCATAGTCTTGCTTGTTTCTTTTTTTATTTCCAGAGATTGCTGATTAGCTTGAATATGGGAACAGAACTTTGAATTCCAGCTGTGACTACAATAGATTTTTAACCTGAATAGTTTCAACAATTCTGGTTCTGTGACTGATTTATCCCTTCACTTTTTCTGCGCACAGAGTCCTGTTCAAATTTACAATAGTCTAACGATGTTTGCAAGACTTAATGTTCTCCGACAGTATTGCCTTTTGAGTGGAAGAACAGCAAATTTCTTTCAATGGACAAAAGATTCTACCCAGATCAAGTATTTTTTTTCATCAAGTGTTCCTCACAGTACAATTTTTGCCCTGTCCTCTGGTGCAGGCAAGTGTGGAGTAGCAGTCATTCGACTTTCTGGGTCAAAGTCAAGTTATGCTCTGAAGCAGTTATGTGGGAAAGTGACCAAACCAAGGACTGCCAGCCTGTGTAAACTTATGAACCCACAGACACAAGAACTTCTTGATAGAGCACTGGTGCTTTGGTTTCCAGGTGAGTTTGAGTTCTTGTAGTATTGCAGCATTAGAAGATTAGTGCATAAGATGAAAGTGGTTGTTTAGGCTATGCCTGTAATTTAAAATTTGGTTTTGTCCATAAAGTGTTCTCATATCTGCATCTATTGGGAATTGCATGGCTGTGAAGTTCCTACAAAAGCAATTGCAAGTCAAATATATACATGCTCTTTTCTTTACAGCTTTGAATGTGCTAATTATTGTACTGACTCAGCCCCAACTGAAATCATACTCCATTCCTTTTTCCTTTTGGACAAGCACATGTTTTGTGAACTGCAACATGTTCACATTTTTTTCTACTGTTTAGAGAGGTTTGGTGGGTGGTTGGAAGGTGCTCTGGTGTGGTTTGCTCCTTCTTTCCTATCAAACGTCTATCGTCCTTATCTTTCCTCTTTCTTTTTTGTGTTTGTTACTTCCTTGTAACACCACTAATCTTCGACACTTATATGACGTAAAAAACTCTTACGGAGAAAAAAAAAGAGAGAGGTTTGGGATGTACGCTTATGGACTTGCTTTTATCAAGAGAAGAGTAAAGAATTTTTTACTCTGTGAGTGTCAAGGACTTAAATACATTTTGTTGATCTATGTATTAGCCGTGTTGGAAAATTATTAATTACTAAATAAATTGAATTTGTGTCTCACTTCTCTAGTTTCTATCTTATAACTTTTTGTGATTTGCTGAAACTATTTTGTGTCTTGTCATGCAATACGTGTCATTAAGATTCGTTTTTAAAGTTCTTTTTGTAGGCCTATTGTTTAAAATGGTTTTGGGGATTTTCAAATTTTCTAGGGCCAAAAAGTTTCACTGGTGAGGACTGTGCTGAATTGCATATTCATGGAGGACCTGCTGTTGTGTCAGCTGTCTTGACAGCCCTGGGATCTCTTTCTGGTCTCACACCCGCTCTACCTGGAGAGTTCTCAAAAAGGTTTTTATTTCATATGCAGTTCTATGACCCCCTCAGCTGCAACAACTACAAATGAGCAAGGTTAAAGATACTATTGTTATTTTAAAGTATCATAACCTGACATGTTTTTTGATACACAATTGGTCCAGCCAAAGATTAACAGAAAACCTCAAAACATTAATGAACCTTTTACATTATGGCGACATGGACATGTGTGTAAAGATTTTTATGTTTGTCGTCTTGCAGGATCAATCTCACACTCTTTTACGCTGCAACACAACTTGTTTTATATTTCTAGAAATTATCATATTTAACTTGCTAGAGGTATTTTATTTATGTAACTATTGATTTACATTCTGTGCTGTTCCTTTAACTTGTAAACAGATTATAACACAAGTAACTGAAGTGTATGGCAATTATTTATTTTTCAGAGCTTTTGCAAATGGAAAGTTGGATTTGACCGAGGTTGAGGGCCTTGGCGACTTGATTCATGCTGAAACAGAAGCTCAAAGGAAGCAAGCTCTGAGGCAAATGGAAGGGGATTTGAATCAACTTTACACAGGATGGAGGACTGGTTTGATTAAGGTAGACTTCCTTTTTACAAATTGACATATGGAGATTTAGTAAACATTTTCTTGATGAGTGGGGGTAGCGGAGAGGGAAGGAGGGAGATGATCGATTAGATTGCTTTGATTACTTTAACAAATGTCATAGGTGAGAGCCAGTGGTCGGATAACACCTATGTTACTCTTGAGGACTTTAAGGCACTTTCTCTTTCAGCTAAACTACCAGTTGATTTTTACACTATTTTATCCAACTGGAGGTAAAAAAAAATTGCCTTTGAAAGGAGAAAACCTGAGCACTGTTTTGATTCCTCTTATGCAGGTTTCATGGGCATTTAACTTTTTGTCACTTGGTTTAAAATAAGTAAAAAATGTTTTTTGCTATTATGAATATCATTTGAGACTTATCAGTAAAATTTTTAGTAGAAATTATTACAAACTTCTTCTGATTTATTTTATTCTGTACAGAGTCTTGCAAATGTTGAAGCCTTCATTGATTTCAGTGAGGAAGAAAATATTGAAGATGACGTTATAGAATTAGGTATGTTGAATGTTTTTACATCTCTTGAAATGTGCTACTTCGAGATAAAATTTAATGTAAAAATTCTTTGTTACTGTTGTGGCCCTTTTGTGTATCGATGTATTTGTTATTATGAAAGAAAGCATAGTGTTCAAGTTTCGAAGTAGCAGAAAATAGAAATAGAGATTAAATAGAGATAAAGAGACGTCTCGTTTTGAGAAATCCGTGTCCAGTGTTTAAAAGTTCAAGCTTAGCTTGCTTCAGTGTGTTTTTGAAGATTGGAGTTTAGAAGAGCTTGCTATGAAAACATCAGCAAATCTGAATCAGTTGACTCACTGGAGAGCAAAGCTTCAAGTAAATCTTACGGAGCTGAAAGAGACTGAAAACTCAGAAGCTCAGGTTTTGTACCCTGATGCCTCCACTCCAATATCTTTGATACATGGATTGGATACAGCGTAAAACCATTGGTGGAATATCCACACTCTTGAACCAGGGAGATGGGTTAATCTAGCAAAATTAGCCTTTTTATGTTGGATAACATGTGTACATTTTGTGCAGAATTAAACTAGGTGTTATTAAATGTAGAAATTTAGAAAGCCAGTTTTTCTATTTAAAAAATTACACTTCTGTTTTTTGCAAGTATTGATGGCTTTTTAAAAAACAATTTAATTTATTCTTTTGTGTTAAAAAATCATCTTTTCAGTGACAACATCTGTGATGAAGATCCAAACAGAGATGGAAGCACATCTAAGAGACAGTCGTAAAGGAGAGAGACTTCGAGATGGTGTCCATGCTGTCATTCTGGGGGAGCCCAATGTTGGAAAAAGCAGCCTGCTCAATTTCCTGTGTAAGTTACATTGCAGCACTCAGTTGAAACTGAAATGCTACATCCGTGTATAAATTTATTCATGGAACAATGCACCTCAAATATCAGTTCACTTATTTGCTTGTAGAAGTCCTGAAATCTGTGAACATTGGTTGTACTGTATCAAGCACCCAGCATCTGATCTCAGATCTTTTAGATTTAACTAGAACATCAGTTTAGGATGATACATTTGTATATATAGTATCATTAAAGAATTGCAAGGGGCACTGGGAAATAATGTCCAAGTTAAGCTTGATATTGCACAATGTGTTGTTGTGCTGCAGGAATAAGTTAATATTAGAACAAATGCAAAAAATACTGTCTCATCCAAAAATGGAAAATAATAGTCCATACAGATTTATAATGCCTTTGAAGAAGAAGAATATGGGATGACCTGATAAAGGAGAAACTTTACACGATAGAAATACTATATCTATTCGATATATAAATCTATTATATTGTATTTCTATACTAATAGCATATGCACGTACATGACTCATAAAGATCAATTGCATTGTTAGTTAAGGTTAAAGAACTTCTGCTCTTCTGCCAACAAGGCCTTGTGAGGAAGCGCTGGGGGGATAAAGTACAATTTCACACCATGTCTGTTACAGGCCAGAGACCTGCTGCCATTGTGTCTCCTCTGGCAGGAACAACGCGAGATGTGGTGGAGACAGCTCTTAACATTGCAGGGTACCCTGTCCTCATCAGTGACACTGCTGGACTACGAGAGTCATGTGACGTTATAGAAAAAGAAGGTATCTCCAGAGCTCTGGACAGGTTTGTTTGTAATTTTATTTCCAATGATTATCTTCTTTTGAGGGGTTATTTTAGGATGAGAAGCGAGACTATCACAGAACAAGTTGGCTCAACTCCATACTTCCAATTTATAGATAAACAACAAAGGGAATAATTTGGACATCTGTTTAAACTACCACCAGACAATATAACAATGAGAGCACCAGAGAGATCAGATCGTAAGAGAGGAAGAAGCAGGCCAAGGAAAAGATAGATAGAGGGTAGGGATGGGCAGGTACCGGTACTCAGTACCGGAACTCCCGGTTCTACCGAAGGAGGTGTCAGTACCGACACCTGGCCTCCAGTACCGGCACGCTCAGAGAGTAAGAACGTATAGGCTGACACCTATGGTTTTTTAACCGGGCCACAAGAAGTGTGCGTGCTGTGTGTAGGCCTAGGCCTTGGCCTAGCAGCTGTGACGTCAGATGCACACAACGCAGCTGGTGACCTTGATACATGACTTCAGATTCAAAATTGACAATCAAAAACGAAGTTTGCTTAAATTTAAATATGGCATCAAATCAAATTCTCTGCGGGGTGCAGGCGTGGCTGATCATCGTGTGAGACGCAAGACGCGAAGTCTGTGATGCCACCCCCTGATGTCACTCCCTATACCGGCACCGGTGCCGGTACTGGCCGTTCTCGGCACCGAGATCTCGGCACAAAGTGTCGACACAGGGTTTCGCCGGGACTCATCATCATCATCAATGCCTTTCACCCCTGGCAGGGTATAGGCCACATACAAGCTCCTTCCATTTATCTCTGTCCTGAGCCTTCCTTCCAAGCTCGTTCCAAGTGAGCTTCATTTCTCTCATGTCCCTTTCCACGCATCTCCTCCATGTATCCCGTGGCCTACCCCTGCCTCGTGCTCCTTGTGGGTTCCACTACAGTGACTGTCTTGTGATGTTTCCGCTGGGCTTTCTTAAGGTGTGTCCCATCCATCGCCACTTTCTTAGTCCTATTTCTACTTCTATATCCTTTTGTCCTGTCCTTTCCCACAGCTCTTCATTTCTTATTCTATCCTGCCACTTTATTCTTAGAATACTCCTCATACATCTGTTGATGAAAGTCTGGACTTTATTCAGTACTGTTTTCGTTGTCTTCCAAGTTTCGCAGCGGTAGAGGAGCACAGACTTGACGTTGGTGTTAAAGAGTCTTTCGCCGGGACTGCCCAACATTAATAGAGGGGGTCAGAGAACAACATAACTAAACAACAGGCGATATAGCAAACAAGAGGAAGACTTTGTTTCTTCCCTCGACTCCACAAAAATTTAACTGTCTCATTTTGTTCAAAAAGTACTGTGTACTGGCAGTGTACTGTGAAAGGTAGTGAGGAGTGTATTTTTTTTAACCAAATATCTTTTCACATTTGGCAAGAGATATCGGTGTCCAGTTTTACTGTTCATCATGACAGCTAATTTTTTCTCTATAATTTATAATGAAATGAGAAATTCTATCTTTTTTAAACTGGGGTGTCAGGAGGAATTCCATTTAGTTTAATTCAATTGACTAGTATTGGTTGAGATTTTCAAATTTATTATTTAGACAGATCAGTGTAAATTCTTTCTCTTGGGCTAGTAGATTTCAGCTGTGCTCAACCGTCGGTTCTTCGTCCTTCAGACATATTAGTAGGTACCAGAAACTAAATTTTCAAAGTTGCTGTATGCCAAATTTATCTGTTCCATTTGAAAGGCCTATGTCCCGTGAGCATTTTGGTACCATCCTTTAACCTCTCAGTCAATTTTAAAGAAAAAGGTAGTTATTTAAAATTTGATCAAATTTGTTAAAGTTGCTCTCTGGCTGCAACCCCATGTTTGACAGATAATAAAAGAGTACCAAGTGCACTAAACATCTCCACATTAACAGAGTACAATCACTATAACATATATATGGAGCCTAATTTTTTTCAAGACTGTGAGATCATTACAAATCAGTATTTTATCGCCTTAAACACGATGATTTGTCGTTATTTCAACAAAAACACTGAGCGTTGACCCGGCCGGAGCCACACCGGCGCCACACCGGCCCACGCAGCGAGCGAGACGGCTGTATACTGTAGTGTACCGAGCATTTCCCTGTCCTCATGGTTTTAGGCACCCCACATAATTTAGCCAAATTTGATCATTTTTTTCATAATTTCTGATTATTTTCCTTTATCATTCTTTGTTAAAATTAACAGAATCGCATAATTTCACATTTTTGGGCTCAGTTCGCATAATTTCAGAATTTTTCTTGCATAAAACGACGGGGACAGATTTCCTGCGTGTGGGGGTCACATGCTTTCCGACTTTCGCGGAAGGATTGATGAAAAATAATTCCAAGTCGATTACTTTTATTCTAATAGGAAATGAACTGATCTTTCTATTAGTACTTATTTGAGTCGGTATTTTAAATATTTCGTGTAAAAAGATCTTTAAAATTGTTGACGATATTTTTAAAGGCTTTCTATTTAAATGCCAAAGGCCAAAAATACACCACAAGAAAGCCCGTTCAAAGCTATACTCTGCCAATGAAAAGACGGCATTTAATTATCAATCTCTCCCCGAAGCATTTGAATGCACGCATGTCAATTTTTTAACTGGCCCACCACGCATTCCGACTGCGAGGGGCTTCGCTTTCCTCGGCAATTCTCCAGCTCCCAATAATCGGACATATAAACAACTTACACCATTGTAATGAGGAAAAGCTGAATTTTTACAAGGTTTACGGCATTTTGTCTTTTATAATGAAAGAGCAAAGAAACAGATCTGAATTACCCTGATTTCACCGATACCACGCGTTCGGAAGGCCCCGAGTGCCCACGAGGCCGTGTTTACGCTACCTAATATTAAGCAGCAATATACCATTTTTTGGAAGTCCTTTTGTTTATTTGTACTGACCAGAGTTTCTTATATTTTGGGTCGGGAACAATTTTCAATTTTGACCTGGCTTGCGGGCAAAGCAGGTCTTCTTTTCTTCAACTTTCAATCGTCAAGTTATTATTAACATGCACAAAGGGCATTAGCGGTGTCCCTGTCTTTATTGAAAAAGACAGGAACTCATTTCCACTAAGCCAGGGATTTGGATTAAAGAATATCCACTAACCACACTTGTTTGTCCCAGGAATTGAACCAGTTACTCTGACATGAAGGCAAGAATCTTATCTCCCCCCCCCCCCCCCCCCAACACCCCAACCACCCCCTCACCTTAATCCCCAAGCAATAGTAATAACTATGTGAAGACATGAAGATCTACGCTCTGTTGTTGCACATGAAAAGCTGTTCAGATGATTTTTCTAGTTTCTGTCAGCAGACTGTCGTATTCCACACACATAGTGATAGTTGCACTTGCTCTTCTCTCTCTGTTTCACCATTTTGCCTTTAAAGAAGAGACTCCATGTATGTGCTGAGATTTTGAAAAAGGTTATATTAAGCAAGAAAATTTGTGTCAGTGTTTTTTTTTCTACCAGACTTTAAATATTGTTTGATTTTGGACAATGTCACAGTGGACCTGCTATATGACATTATGCTCCAGAATCTTTCTTAGTGTTTCCATATAATTTGTTTCCCTCATATCCACAGAGCAGAGAAGGCCGACTTGAAGATTCTTGTCCTGGATTTTGAAGTTCATGGAGCAAATCTGTCTAATGTTGACTTTCCGACTTTTTTGTCATCTTACCTGTCTGACATGAGGTTGTATCAGAATAACTTTCGTGAAGCAGACTCTGTCCATGACTCCCCATCAAACAGCGATCAGTCACTGTCTTTCGATCAAGTACCAGAAGATTCATGGGAGGTGTTGGTTGTTGTGAACAAAAGTGATCTGGCAAGAGTTTCTGACTTAAAGCAGGTATCTCAGCATGCTTCAGGGTCAGTGTGCTTTGTCTCGTGCAAGACAGGTCAAGGCCTTGACAGATTTCTTCATGTGCTCGCTGGCAGGATAAAAGATCTGTGAGTATTTGTGTCTTGTTGTTGATTACTTCTCTGAACTTTGTAGTTTGAAAAGGTACACGTTTATAAACTGTCGAAATTGTCTAAGATGGCCATAAGGGTTGGGGCGCACAGACGAATAGGTTCGTTACTCGCGGACACAGTCAGAACCTCAAGACATTTTGTTTTTTGGGGTCTGCTCCACAATTTTATTTACTCAAGGTGCGGGCGAATAGATGAACTCTAGCAGACAAGATACTCAACCCATTGTTTTAAGTCCCTCGTGGTGCTGTAGGAAGTGAGAGGCTGATGACATATCACTGTGTGAACCACACTGTGTGTTTTCTAATTTGTGTCAAAGGGGAAATTTTAAAAATTGCCAAAGGCAATACATAACTATGATGACACAAATGCGAACACTAAGACATTCAGAATTTCTTTTTTCTGTGATTTTATATACACTTCATGCTTATGTTTGAATTGAAAGCAATGAGGAAACTATTAAAATAATTTTATGTTCCGTAAATTACTTTTCAGAGTTTTTTTTCATTTTGTGTCATCATGGTTTTTGTTCGAAAGATGTTAGATATTTTGCAGAGGTTCATTGTAAAATGTGTATTAAGTGGCATTTTTTCATCATTAACATGCATTGTGAGTCAAACTGAATCTTCTGAATCGTTCTTTGGCCTAATTTTCATAAAAGAAATTAAGATATGAAAACGGAAAGTTTTTCATTTCTTTCGAACATAACTATGATAACACAAATGTAAACTCAACAGCATTCAAAATTTCTTGTTTCTCTGATCTTCACCATTTTATATGCTCTTCATGCTTATGTTTGAAAATAAAAGCAGTAAGAATACTGTTTAAATAATTTTGTATGTACAAATTCTTAAAAAATTGTCTGAAAAAATTTGACTTGTCGCTACGTGACACCGGTTACGCAGCTTAGCATGCAGTCTGTAGGTCTGTAAATACATGTTTTTGTAGGAGAAGATATACATGAATAGAAAAATTCAAGTAAAAACAAAATATTAAAAACTTTATCATCAACCCTCTGTGCTACATTTTAGGTATCCAACTATTGGCAAAAGCTGTACAAGTCCTTATAATCCTTAGGAATCAACACAAAATTGTAGAGATATCACCCAAGCATGCATTTATGCAAGAATTTCACAAATTTAGCTGAATACCTTTCACTGAAGGGCCTTCTTATTATTTCAGTCTCCATGTTGTTCACCCGTACTTAGCGACAACAAAACAATGATTTTTGCAAGAATTTCACGCAATTTCGATTGATTTTGGTGCTCAGAGATTGAGGTCAGGTTTGTTTACAAGCTCTACTTCCTTTCGACAACTTAAAAAGTAGGAACTATGTTAAAAAGTGCACATTCGTTTTGGATTTTGTCGAATGGACGGAATCGGTTAATACCAACTGTGATTGGAAATACAGTCCGTGCCGGCTATAAGCACGCCGGCCTTAAGCACGCTAAACGGCTCTTACCAAATTTTTGCTATATAAATTACACGCCTCTAAGCACGGTAACTTCGGCTTCAAGCACTCTTCATTTACAAGGCAGTCAATATTTTCATGATGACCCATCGAAGTTCGAACACAGTTTACACCGCAAAAGTGGAGTGTGTTAAGAGAAACACAAAGAATGCAAGTGATGGACACACACACTCGCACGGGCGGAGAGGAAGGCAGAGAGATGCACACAGCCGTTCGCGCGGACATAGGATCTAGCCTAGGCCTAGGGCAAAGCTACACACGATCAAAAAAAAAAAAAGAAAGAGAGTCGGGGAGATGAGAAAGGGAGGCTGGCTGCGATTTCACCTTTGACCCTCGCTACCCATTAATCCTGGTTGTGTATCACGCGCGAGGTGGGATGAAGGCGGTGGTATGAGTAGCACAGCGGGCAGTAGCACAGCGGGCAGTGGTACGCACAGGCAGTGTGTTACAGTAGGCCTAATGTGCTGTATCGTGACTGGCCGTCTAAATTAAGTTTTCATTTCCCATTCGACCACAAAACAAAAACAAACAAGCGAACAAAAACTACCATGGCGGGTGTCTAAATAACAGTGCACACTTTTGTGGGACCGCTATAGGCCTACTTACAAACTAAGGGAAATAGCACGGGGAATTTTCTACATGAAAATCTCTGGATTATGTCTACTTCGCACTTAAGCACGCTTCGGCTTTAAGCACGCTTAAGCTTTCTCCCGATGACCGTGCTTAAAGCCGGCATGGACTGTACTGGAGCAGACTGTGACTCTGAGTCGACTCACAAACTGACATCGTCTTTCGAGTTTTATGTAGACTCTTTCATATTTCATGCTTTTTTTTACTGACAAGTGGCAGTGTTCTACAACCAAAGAAGCAAAGAAGGAATTTTGCTCAGTGTTTTTTTATGAGTCCCTTGTTGCATGTTCTTTCCTTTCATTTTTTGTTCCTCCCTTATGATATGGGGAAAAGCAAGATATTGTTTGGACCATAGTCTTCTTTATGATCATACATGTAAGGTGAAGTTTCTTTTTAAAATTTGTTTTGACATTGAAATTGGAAAATTCGCCTTGTCATTGTGCAGAGGTAAGCCCAGAAGATGCTCACTTCTGTGCTTGACAAGACAATATTTCTTTCTTTTTTCAGTGAGAGTGGGTTTTTTGGTCACCATTTATCTTTATTTTCTCTTTTTAAGGTATTGTTAGCTCAATAAATTTGACTTTGCTTGTCTTTGTCAAAACATGTGAACTCTTACTAGACATTACAACTGTCATTTATTCAATTAATCCATGCTTTTAAGGTTTGGTATCCATTGCTGAAATTTTTCAGAAGAAAAACGTGGCTGATAATAAATAATAATAACTAATACCTATATTAAAAGAATTTTTAGAAATACTTACAGCTCTACTGTATGCATTAAATATATATTATATTTGTTTGCTGTGGAGAGATTTTACTGGATACAAGTTTAGCTTAATTGACTCCACTGTAATACATTTTTTTAAAACTTGTGTGCTGAAATGACTGCAATGGTATCCCTGTTTTTCTAGGTGTGGGGACCCTCTGACGAGCAGCTCCAGCCTCACCCAGACACGACACAGACATCATCTGAGCAGATGTAAACAGCACCTTGAGGATTTCCATAATCTCCTGAGCTATGATGTTGTGATAGCAGCAGAGAAACTGCGGAGAGCCACTCGAGAATTGGCCTTGATCACAGGGGCTGTGTCCACTGAAGATGTGCTTGATGTGATATTCAGAGATTTTTGTATAGGGAAATAAATGTATTTATTTATCAGTCCTGAAAATTACTTCAAGTTTTTTTCCGTTCAAGATGAAGGATTATTTGGCACCAGTGATACTAACCAATCAGAATAGAATCAAATGTAAGTGGCGCAGAGTAAAGCTACATGTCTTCCACTAAGATCCGGTTTCTTTTTCGTCTTCATTCTTTCTTTTTTAGTGTTTTTATAACAGTAATTGTCAGAAACGTCATCTTTCTGTTTTTACGCATGGTTCGGGGGGCTCTCGTGGCCTAGAGGTTAAGGTGTTGGCCTCTCATTCAAAGGTCCCGGGTTCGATTCCGGGTAGCGACCAAAAAATTTTCTTCTCTAAAATTGTCTCCTTTCACATCCTTTCCTGATCTCTAACAATGTTCTGTTGTCTGCTTTCATTTCCACTTTCTGCCCCCACCCCCTCACCTCCTTTGCCCCCTCCTCTGGGCTCCTGACTCTTTCTGCAGCCTTTCTACTGCTACTCCTTGGCTCCTCCTAACTGCTGTCTTTCTGCCACACCCCTGATCTTCTGGTAGGAAAGATCTACACCTAGCCTTCTCGGACAAGGGCGAAAAATCTCGGAGGGCCCGTGTGCAAGTTGCGCACGTTAAAGATCCCTTGGTGGTCTAAAATCGATAAGAGTAGGCTTCGGCCGCCACCCGGGCAAAATTCAAAATTTCCTACCCACGAAAAAGTATTAGGTGTGTCCCGCGCGCTCATATGACCTTATGCAGTTGCGAGCGCCGTAAAACCCTATACTAAACAAACAAACAAAAACACATGGTTCACTTAGTTTTCTTGTCACTGCACCGCCTTGGGTAAACTGTGAGTGGGGCAACATGCTACCTCAATTGACAAGGTCAAAACTTCAGGATTCACCTTCTCCCCCTCTCCCCCCCCCCTTTTTTTTTTGTCATTCAACTGATCATTCTTTCCCATTGCATATGGCCTTAAATGGCAGGACTACACCTAGCAGGTACTAAAAATCATTTTCTTTGAAATGAGTTATCCAGTCTGATTTTTTAAAACTCCAAACATTTTTACATCAAAACCACACCAAAAAAATCAAATAATATTTTAAAATCTTGTGCTGTTAAGAAAATGCAAAAATTATGTCCTTGTCATGGATGTGACAAAGTGCAAATTTTGAAGCAGCTTTGTAAACAAAATGGGGAACCTGCACTTAAAAAAATTTCTATTCAGAGAAAACATGCATAAGATTTTTTTTCTCCACTACAGCCTGAAAAATGATGAACTGGTAAAGGTTTAACACTCCTATCTACACTATTAGATTATTTAAGAGACTGCACCTCCAAGTTTAACGTACATCGCTGAAAGGACTGAGCCAAATTGGAAATTCATGTAAAGTACCTTTTCCAAGGACACAACGCTGAACTGAGCGGACGCTTGAACCCTTGAACCTGCAATCTTATGATTATGGGTCTGGTAGCCTTCACCAGGCCACTGACACCCATTACAGCCTATCAAGCATTTGAGTTACTAGCTGACATTAAAGTGCGGTGTATATTTTCCCACAGCGCTCTGCGTCAGTATTCTCGATTGACCTAATTTTCTCAATTTCTATAGAAAAATGGCGTTCCTCTTTATTTTCAGAACATATTCGTCAAAAAAGTGTATTTTTCATTGGAAAATCTCAAATTTTGTTTTGTGATTTTATTTTTTAATCAATTTGTATTCTCAACACTTTATACGTAGTTTGGATATGAAAAGCTCATAGCAGTGATAAGAGAATGAGACTACAGTCAAACCGCATTATATCGCCACCCTTGGAACGGGCATGAAGTTGGTGGAACAGCTGGGCTGGCAATTCAAAAAGGTTCTTTTGCTGTGTAGCCCCAACTACCCAGTGCCAAGAAACCTGATTCTGCTATATGATCTGGATATATGAAAATGTCTTTTTCTTGGTGATGTCGATACACATATACATGCACTTGTATTCAGAGCCGAGAGTTTTCTCTCTCTTTATTTCTGTCTTTCTTGTGGGAGCAAGATTATCAAGTAACCAACTGATGGGTGTTGTGCAGCGTATGCAGTGTGTACCTCAGGAGGTCAGTCTCCTGGAGGTGGGGCAGAGTAAATTTGCATTAGTTAAATTAAATGAGGTCTGCACTACTCAGACAGTTGGCGGATGGCAGTGTGAAGGCAAAAATACTATGCATATATAGGCGTTCCTTTTCGTACATTGGGAAACCGGTACGAAGAGGTTTTAATGTATTTATAGCCCAATACCAAAAATTGACAAGGTGAGCTGAACAATGACAGGAGGTCACCTCGTTTAGTTTTGGCAGCAGAAAAATTTCCTACAGCCCAGGTCTCTATTAAAAATAAAGTTTACAATGTATTGCATTTTTAAATACAGTGGAAACCATATATATAACAGGCCCGGTATTAACAGGGATCCTGTAATAACAGGGATGTTTAAAATCCCTGTTTTTTCCTACTCTTCGTCTCTATTTAAAGTTATCGGCAACAACAGGGCCTTATCGGAGCCCAACCGGTTATAGCAGGGACAAAGGCTCGTTAACAATGTGTAAAAAGTAAGAGAGAGAGAGAGAGGGAGAGAGAGGGAAAGAGAGACCGGTCGGCCTAGATCTAAGCCTACTTCTTTCATTATGGTCACCAACGATGTAAAGCGCAAGAGAAAATGCCTTTCAATTGACAAAAAATACGAAATAATCCAGACTGTTGACAAAAAGCAAGTTCTACTAGCAGAGATTTGTCGTCAGTTCGACATTCCACTAGGGTCGATTCCCACCATTATCAAGGATAGAGAGAAGATAATGGCAGCATACTCCAATGAAAAGTTTGCTCTGGATCGTAAGAAGATGAGACTACCCGATATAGATGCTGTGGACCAAGCTATTCTGATGTGGTTTAAGGACGCAAGGAGAAAGTCGGTGGCAATACTCATGTTCGTGGGTACTTGTGGCTAGGGAAACTACCCATGAATAGCTAGATTAGTCCACAAATGCCCATTTTCCTTGCATTTCGGATTTAACAGGACTTTTTCTCTACTCCCACCATCCCTGTTATATCAGGTTTCCAGTGTAGCTCATTTCCACTTTGTGAGTGTGAATGCTCAAGAGCATTGCATTCCCCTACTGTGTTCCAGTTGTTCCGTTGCTAGTCTTTGATTCCAAGTCTAAGATTTGTTTCTCAGTCCCATCAGATAGAGCAATTTACAAAATCATCTGCATCATTTTATGTTGATCACCATCGTAGCTGCAGTTTTGAGTTTTGCCTGCATAGAAAAAAGAACCGGACCATTATCTCAGTGGGAAGAATCCATACTTTTGGGTTACAAGTGTTCAAGTTTGGATTGCTTTGTCAAGTGATTTTATAAGTCTTTGTGACACCATGAAAGTTTCGCCGGAAGTGCTTCCTATAAAAAAATTTTTGTTGGTCTTCTTGTTCCACATGTAAAATTTTAACCCAGTTCGCCTGTGCTTAAGTCATTTTTGTTCAGCAATTTAAGAGCACAAAGTGACTGTTTCGGCAGCACAGAAGCTAAGCCACTATAAGTTACAGAAATTGTACAGGTTTATCATCTCTTGCAGCACTAAGATTTTTTTAAAAGGGAAAGCCACCTAATTTAACGTCCACCCTGGGAAAATTTGAGTAAAATGCCTTCCAAAGGAAATGTTGGATGGAGCTGAGCCTCAAACCCCTGAACCCACAACCTCACAATTATGAGTCCAGTAGCCTGAACACTTAACCCTCTTAACTCAGCCGAGCATGTGGACATAGGATCTAGCCTTGGGCAATGCTACAACAAGCAGACGAAAATAATACAAAGAGTCCAGGAGACGAGAAAGGGAGGCTGGTTGCGATTTCACCTTTGCCCCTCGCTATCCGATAATCCTGATTATGTATCACAGACGAGGTGGGATGAAGGCGGTGGTATTAATGCGGCACAGCGGGAAGTGGTACGCACAGGCAGGTGTGTCGGCCTAGTGTGCTGTATCGTGACAGGCCTTCTAAATTAAGTTTTCCTTTCCCATTCGACCACAAAACAAACAAACAAAAACTACCATAGCGAGTAAAAAATGACAGCGCACACTTTAGCGCGACCACAACTTACGAACGAAGGGAAATAACTCGGGAAATTTTCTGCATAAAAATCTCTGGATTACAAAATATATTGACAATGTCTACTTTGCACTCAAGCACACTTCGGCACTAAGCATGCTTATGTTTTCTCCCAATGACCGTGCTTTTAAAGCCGGCATGGACAGTATAAGATTAGTAAATCTTCTACACTTGGTTCCTACAACAAAAAGTATAAATTCAGCTTTCCATCATCCCTTTCCTAAGCTGAATATGGCTCAACTGCTGAACTAAGCCATATAAAACATTCTCCTTCAGATGGGAGACTTAAGTTATTCCGTTTTATTCAATTCAAAATACGAACAGAGCCACCAAACACGTTGTATCTTATGAAAGTGTATTTTATTGAAAAAAAAATATATATAATCCCTCTCAGTAAGGTAAAACAATTCCTTGAGACACTGTGTAAAATAATAAGTATCACCAGAAGGAAATGTCAACACCCCATTATTTATGGCAATAGAAAATCCCACGATGAAAACGCTGGTCCCTCTAAGCACACACAAAAAAAATCAAATTCATCAGGTGTGTGCTCTCAGACATACAATTTAATTAAAAAAATTAATCGGTTCTTCTACATAAATTAAATAAGAAAGTTAACTGCATTACAAAAACATGTGAATCATTTCATGGCCCCAAATATGAAGCATTTGTTCATATATAATAACACCAATAAATAGTTCAAACCTAAATAGAAAATGAGAGATCGCCTCATAATATTAATAGTTACCTGTTTTATCACAAATGATTTCTGAAAGTGAGAAAGTATTGTTAGTATTTTTTTGTTCAAACTTAATTCATATAATGTTTGCGACAAAAGTCTCAACACAACAGAAAATGAGCATACATCTTTGTTCTACAAGTAAAACACAGTATGTTGATGAATAGGGACATTTATTGATTTA